AAATCTAGTAGTGTCAATGCATGAGTCAGAATTACTGCCGTACCTAACAGCAAAGAAAGAGAGTACACTTTTCAAGCTACCATGTGTTGGGGGTGGGGTGGGGTGGAGAAAGCCTCAAATGGAGCCACTTGGGCTATGCCCACATCACCAAACCAAAGCTTTCTACCTAACCTAACTGCAATTTCAACTTTCCCCAGGAATATAATCTTAACCAGTCAGTCTGGAATTGTCTGATGAGCACCTATGAGGTCATCTTCCATACAGGCCCTTTTTATCCCCGGACGGATGCTAAGGTTGTCAGTTCTTTCCAATCCCTTCTCCCTTCTCTCTATACAAGCCTTCCATCTTGTACAGCTCCTTGGAACTCCTATTAGCTAGATAGGATGCTGCCCGATTCATGAATTATTCAACAAAGCCAGTTAGATCTTTAAAATGTACTTGGTTGCATTTTTGTTATTTAACACACGTGACTATTTGATGCTGTTTACTTGATAATTCACTGTCTATGCAATTTTGATTCATAAATATAGAAAGCAGTTCTCACACTAAATTCTCTTCCTCGGAGGAGACAATTTAGCAAACGCTAGATGACTTTTCACTTTTAACGTAATATTGGGCTCAAGGATTTAATCAGACATTTCTTACTTAAATGCTCCAGTTCATTCTGGGCATGCGAGCTGGGGCAAGCTCAGGACTTGGGTTTTACAACCAAAGATTCTTGGCTCTTCTTCCTGGGGCAGGAGAAAGGGGGAATCCAGCTACAACACTTCAGCAGTTATCTGGACGCTGACAATACAAAGGGTCCCATGAAGTGGGGCCACATAACGACTTCTCCTCAGAGCAGGTGAGAGAGTCAAGCTAAGAGGTGTCACTTGGCAATGTGACTCAGCTAGACGCAGTGGTTCTCAAACTTGGCTGCACATTAGAATCACCTGGGAATCTTTTTAAAATCCTGATTTCTGGGCCTCATACTCCAGAAATTCTGTTTCTTTGTTACTATTGTTGTGGCCCCACCCAAGAGGTTCTGGGTTGGTCTGTAAAAAATCAATAAAATATATTTTTTTAAAAAAAGAAAGAAAGAAAGAATAAAAAGATTCCCAGGTGATTCTAATGTGCAGCCAAGGTTGAGAACCACTGGTCTAGAAAGACTGACTGTTAACCCTCCGCTGTGCCCACAAAGAGTCAGCTCAAGGTTGGGCAGAGTATACCCAATGCACTACTTAATGGCTTACATTACACTCCCACTTCCTATGAAGGAGACCGGCTGGAGCTCGGGGATTCTGGGGGAGTCTCTCAGAAAAATCCCAAAGCTCTCACCCACAATTTTCAAAATCGTTAGTTGCCACAAAAAAACCCTGTATTTTTGGTAAATTGGCACTGAACAATGAAACAAGATTTATGATGAGAACAGCTCCTTCACCTGGGTTATAATGCACACCACTATTAACGAACCAGGGTTAGGAACACGTGGCCTAACTGGAAACAACTTTGTTATTAAAAAGGGATGTGCACAATTTTTCCTTTGTTAACAGAGGGTTTTGTTCAGCCAGCGGCCACAGTCACATGCAGAAATAAAAAGCTATTACACTATGGATCAGGTTTCATTTCAATAACAGGAATGAGTCATAAAAGATGTTAATTTGGTTAGGCTGACAGACAGCTCCGCATAAATCCTGTTCACAGGTTGTAGAGTTAGTGCTTATTGGTTATTTAAAAAAAAAAAATAGGTCAAGCCTGAACGCTTCCCGGAATTTACCCACCAAGAATCACATCTGTACAAGATGAATTTTCCAGGCACAAAAACCAAATGTGAATGGCCTGTGATTAACATTATTCAAATTTGACTGCTGACGACAATATTGGAAATTAGGTGCTGGCTTTACGGTTATGTAGTAAACTTTATAAAAACATTTAGAGTGTCCAGAAAAACTACACATGCATAGGTGTGCATGTACACTACCACCTTCCTGCTCAGTTTTGAAGGAAATTCTTTAAGCTGAGCTTAGCTGACAAGAGCAAATGTTCCCGAAGAGTAAACAACAGTCTGAAATAACAAGCCACTAGATGTAACAAGTGAGGCGTTCCTTCCCCACTACCCCCCACCACAGCTTAATTGAGGTGTAATTCACATAAAACATAGTATAAGTTTAAGGTGAACAATATGATGATGTGTACACTTATATACTGCAAAATGTTTACCATACCCTTCACCTCACATCGTTGCCATTTTGTTGTTTCCGTAAGAACATTTAAAATCTACTCTATTAGCAAGTTTCAAGTATATACAATACTGTATTGTTAACTATAGTCATGCTGTACATTAGATCCCCTTATAACTAAAAGTTTGTGCCCTTTGACCAACATCTCCTCATTCCCCCACCCCCCAGCCCCTGGCAATTGCCCATCTACCCTGTTTTTATGAGTTCAGCTTTTTTATTTTATTTTTTTTTATTTTTTTTTTCCCCGCCCTAGACAGTCCCCTAGCCTTCCCTATTCCCCAGTGTCTTATGTCCATTGGTTAGGCTTATATGCATGCATACAAGTCCTTTGGTTGATCTCTTACCCCCCTACCTCCCGCCCCCGAACCCTCCCCGGCCTTCCCGATGCAGTTTGACACTCTGTTTGAGGCAGCTCTGCCTCTGGAGTTCAGCTTTTTTAGATTCCACAAGTGAGATCATACTGTATTTTGTCTTTGTCTGACTTATTTCACTTAATGTAAGGCACTCAACAATGGCAGTTTCCTCTTTCTTTAAAATTCATTTTCTAGTATTTCCTTCTTTTTTAATGGCTGAGCAATAGTGCACTGTGTGTATATATACCAATTTTCTTTATCCACGTATCTGCCGACTCTTAGGGCGTTTCCACACCTTGGCTATTGTGAATAAGGCTGTAATGAACATGAGGGTGCAGCTATCTCTTCAACCTGTTTTCATTTCCTTTGGATTTATACCCAGAAATGGAACTGCTCGCTAGATCATACAGTAGCTCTATTTTGAATATTTTGAGGAACCTTCATACTGTTTTCCATAGCGGGGGCACCAGTTTGCATTCTTACCGACAGTGCACAGGGTTCCCTTCTTGAGGAGCTCCTTTATCATGTAAAAACTTGACAGTGACTTTATGAAGGGAGAGCACTCCTTTATTTGGTTCACCTTTTAGCAGTGCATTTAATGGTCCTTAATGGGCCAACGAGAGCCCCATGAAAAGAAGGTCTGGCTCATTCTGAGGTTGAACACAAACTACTTGCCCGGTGCTAGAGAGAGTTAAAACTCACCCTAGGCTGCTAATCTGGGAATCCACTGTGCAGCCGTGGTGTGCGTGTGGATTCTACCTACGGCCAAGTGAGAGCGAGGTGCTGAGCTCAGCACCGGAGACCTTGGCAGTGGAAAGCCCCTGGTCCACATGGAAGCTCTCTCTGCTTCCAAGGATCCTCTTACCCATCACTGTATTTTATCCTTAAAATATAGTGGTTTTATATTTTCCAACGTTAAAAACCACAAGCACTACCCAGTAGCAGAAGCCAAGAATCACTGTAAACAACATAACAAGTCTTCATCAAAAGCATTCGAGGGCTCGACTGATGTGGCTCAGTGGTCAACCTACGAACCAGGAGGTCACAGTTCGATTCCTGGTCAGGGCACAGGCCTGGGTTGCAGGCTCAATCCCCAGTGGGGGGCGTGCAGGAGGCAGCCAATCAATGATTCTCTCTCAGCATTGGTGTTTCTCTCTCCCTCTCCCTTCCTCTCTAAAATCAATAAAAATATGTATTTTTTTAAAGGATTTGAGGAACACATATTTTAATTTCACATCTTCAATGAGATGAATAGATTAGGAGTGAAATTATACAATGGAAACTGCAGTGAAAAAAATATGGGAAAATATCGCCTCCCCTCCTCCTCCTACCACCACCACCACCACCACCACCACCCTGCCCCGGCCACTTCAGACACCAATCCCAAGTCCCACTGTCAGGTGCTTCTGATCCACCAGCTATAGTTGGCGGCCCCAATGATCCCCTCCTTGAGTTGGATTAGTCTGCAAGAGCAGCTACGAGAACTCGGAGAAACATTTTACTTACTAGATAAGCAATTTATCACAAAGGATCTAACTCAGGGACAGCCAGATGGAAGAGATGCATAGCACGAGGTAGGGGAAAGGGCACAGAGCTTCCATGGTCTCTCCACACATCCTCCGGCCCGAAGCTCTCCCTGCCCTGCCCTTTTGGGGTTTTACAGAGGCTGCATTACACAGGCATGATGGATTCAATCGTTGGCAATTGGTGGCTGGTTCAACCTCCAGCCCCTCTCCCCTCTCCGGAGGTCAGGGGTTAGGACTGGAAATGCCAACACTCTAATCCCATGGTTGGCTCCCCTGACAACCAGCCCCCATCCTTAGGTGCACACAGACTGGAACATTGGGCCCCGGGAAATACCTCGAGACAAATGACGGTCAGAGCCTTGCTGGTTCCCCCTGGGCCATGCCATTCCTCCCACCCATCCTTCCTCCACCCTGAGAACCACGGGGGGTCAATTTTCTTCTTATATCCAGTGTCTCCCTCTGTGGAGTCTCCTGTCAAGTTCACAAACATTCCATGGAAATTTGGGATCCGGAATGAAGGAATAAGCAGGCAGAAGTCAACTGGTCATAAAATTATCCATTACCTGAAATACTCAATAATTCCAAGAGCACAGCTTTCAAGGCACATAAAATACCAAGTGTTTTTTTTAATAGAATTTGAACAGCAATTTGGTCCTTTTTGTGCATTCATTTCATGCTGTCCACTTTTACATATATCGAGCACCCCAAACCCCTCCCTCTAAGTAATGCCAGAATGTTTCTTTAAGGCAGGATTTAGAAAAACAAACAAGTGCCCATAAAAATTCATTTCACTGGAATATGAATCCTTCCACTTTCCTCATTTTCCCACTTCTCATATGCACAGCCAGCGAAGTGAATTATGCTCCCTCGTCAACTGCCCGCCTCTTTTCTCTGCCATTTGGAAATGTGCTTCTACTTCAGGGAGGTGACACCCAATGAAAAGGGAAGTGACTTGTCTCTGGCTGGGCAAGGGGTCAAGAGGTCAGTCCACATGTGCTGGACCATCACCCGTCAGAGCCCTGCACCTGCTCCTCCCACCCCAAAGTGCTCTGAATGGCAGCGTGGTTAACCCTCCGGGAATGTTCAGGCACAGTTTCAGGGCCCGGGGTCGCCCTGTTCTCCCCAGCAGTGCCGTTCATGCCCCAAAACGAAGTCTGAAAGGAAATCCTCAATGGAAACGCCCCTCCTTCACTCCCAGTCCACCCTTCTTTCTTCACTTTCAGTCCTCAGGCATTGTCACTGGCACATATTCAGGTTGCCCAATATAATAGCAAGATGTGAGCTATTTCTTAAATGAGTCCCCACTGGATTTGCGTGAATTTTCCCATTCTTGCAAATTCCTATAGGACGTAAGTCCCTGTCACTAAAATATTATTTCAGAGTTCTATCCTGGCGGCCTGGTCACCTCTCCCCTTAGAACCCCCCCATTAGCCACAACACTGAAAGGAAGTCTCCTACCTTTCACTGAGGCTTCTCCACAGCTGTGCACCTGCAATAAGGAGAAGGCATAGGTGAAACTTAACCAGGGCATTTTTCTCTGGAGGCATTTCTCATCTTAGAAATATTCTGACCTATTTAAATGCAATGCTTACATCTTTAAACTCTAGAACTCTGCAATCATACCTTGTATACCTCTGACATCATAACTAATTCAGGTAACTAATCCACACATGTTTATTGAGATACTACTACATGCAAAACACTGGATAGGTACCATGGGAGAGGGAAAACCATATACCACATGGTCCTGTCTTGAGGACTTGACCGTCTAGTGGTGCAGCCAAAACTTGCACTCAAGTAAATGCGAACCAAGGAAGAAACTACACAAGCAGCACAAACCATGAGACTTCTGGGAAGACAGGGCACCCATAACAGAGGTGGTACTTTTGGTTGTTGTTGTTGATCATCACCTGAGTATATTTTTTCCATTGATTTTTAGAGAGTGGGAGGCAGAGAAGGAGGGAGGGAGGGAGGGAGGTGAAAAAGGAGGGAGGGAGAGAGACATCAATCTGAGAGAAACATTGATCATTGATTGGTTTCCTCCTACATGTATCCTGACCGGGGATCGAACCTGCAACCTAGGTATGTGTCCTGACAGGGAATCAAACAAGCAACCTTTTGGTGCATGGGACAACACTGAGAGAGAGAGAGAGAGAGAGAGAGAGAGAGAAACATGGATGTGAGAGAGACACATCAATTGGTTGCTTTCCGCATTTGCCCCAACAGGTCAGGGGCTGAACCTGCAACCCAGGTATGTGCCCTTCGGTGCATGGGCCGATGCTCTAACCACTTAACAAAACCAGCCAGGGCAAAAGAGAGGGCATTGAACGTGATCTTTGAAATGGTGCTGACAAAAGGGGAACTAAGACATTTTATTTGAGAAAGGGGTTTTTTATTTATTCGTTCTTTAGGTATTTTGAGCTTATAGCTAGGCTCAAATAAAATTGACAGAAAAAAATATATGCCTAGATCTCATTTGCTTCCTTAATTCCCCAGTAATTTTCTTCATCAGATTGTGCCTTAATATTAAACTTTCAACTACCAGCTTAAATGAAATGGCTATAAGACAGTTTCAGCATTTACCAGCAAATGACAAAGATGTTGTCTCCTGTTCTTCAGTGTCCCCTACCAAAGATCTATGTGACAAGTTCTACTTAAAATTTAACCCCAGGAAAATGTTTCTCAAAATTGCTTGCATCCTTTCGTCAGATTATTAGAATTGTACGTCTGCTTTGGCTTCCCTTTTTGCCTTGGCTGCCAGTAAGCCCAGACATAAATCTGTTGCTCAATTATGGTCACCGTGTTAGACTCCTGCTCTTCTGCTAGACTCTTGTAAGCAATCTTATGTTCCTTATAGGCTGCCTCAAGTATTTTGGAACTAGATGGAATATCAAAACAAAGCAAATGAACAACACAAAAGAATACAAGGAATTATGAGCACTAGTGAGGTCTCAACAAACGTTGGAAAGCTGGATAGGCTAAATCCTAGAAGCACCAACTCTCCTTGTCATACGACATTTCTCTGATAACACTGGAGCCCAGAGTGGAAAAGAGACAATAGTACTGAGTGTTGCTTTGTTATTAAAAATTGGAAAAAATGAGCGTGGCTGCTGGCATGTAGAACAGTGAGGACAGTGGCACTGCAATCACAGAGCCCAGACCAGGCTGGGGCTGCACAGGGCTGAGGGACAGTGCAGTGTAAGAGGCTGAGCAGGAAAACTACGCACCAAGAGCTGGTCCCACCACAACGAGGGGCAGGAGCCTGGACAAAGGAGTCCGCTGAAAACCGACCTTCAGCCTCTGCAGGGGTTGTAGACAGTGTACTTCCCAAGGCTAAGGTGAAAGATGAGGCCACTAATAAGTGACCGAATCCAGATTGTCATACAAGCCATCAGGGTACAAGCGGGAATGACAGGGAATGGAGGGGCACAAAGGACTATACAGTTCAGTGATGGTGAACCTATATAAAATAAATATCAAAAATATACATCTTTGTTTTACTATGGTTGCAAATATCAAAAAATTTCTATATGTGACACGACACCAGAGTTAAGTTAGGGTTTTTCAAAATGCTGACACGCCGAGCTCAAAAGGTTCGCCATCACTGATATAGTTCATAGCCACGCTTCCTGGTAGGTCCGTGTTCTGTAGCCACCAGCATGTGGCTCAAATGAAGAGTGCAGATTTTGCAGGAGGAAAGGTATAAATAGAGACAGTGGGTGGAAATGCTCAGGAGGCCGTGGGGAGCCCTTCTGGGCCCACAGCATCTTAAAGAGAGCTGGCCGGGCATTCGGTTCCTTAGCAATGAGAGAGAGGAGGAGGTGGTCAAGGAGAAGTCTAAGTCTAAGTGGTCATGGAGGCTGCCCATGCTGGTGACTCGTAACAGAGACTAGAAGGATCTCCATGCTTCTGCTCACCTATTTCAGAGTAAGCACCTAAGACGGTCTTAAAATTAATAATGGAGGGAGTGGAGGAATACAATTACATTCCTAACAGTAGACGTGTAATATCTTTAGCCAAGTGGAGAAGTGGAAGGACAGCAGGAGACAGAGCAGCCCCCTGAGCCCTGATGACTGGGTCCTCCTCTCCTCACTGCAGTTGCTGTCGGCCAAGGCATCTAGTGAGAGCGGCTGGCAGCTCTGCTTGAGGCCACGGCGTTCCTATAACTGCATCTGGATCTAATTTGAAGCCGATTCTGAGTCTCCCAGAGACCAATTCATCACAGTCGGGCCTGGGCCGAACGGCCTGCGAAGTCAGGCTCCTGCCAGCTATTTCCAGCCTCAGATGGGTCTTTGTCCCAAAAGGCTTGGCGAAGAAGACGAAGCAGGCACCACTGTTTCTGCCGTCATAGGCTGGGTAGTGCTGGGAAAGCACAGTCATTCATCCAGTTTCTCAGGTTTGTTTTCTTCATTGAGCGGAAATGCTGAATTCAGAGCCATGTGCCTGGTGAAAACCCTGACAGAAAGATTGGCCACTGACAAATGTCTGCCCCACTGGATGGAGCATAAGAGCTCCACGTGGGCGGAGAGGCCAGGGGTGTGTCTGCATCGCACTGGACGCCCAGCACCTACACAGGCCCTGGCACAGAAAGGCCCCACAGACTGACTGCAGAGGGAACAACCCCACGTTGTTCCAATCATGTGGCAGAGTTGAACAGAGTAGACTGTGTCTGTGCCCAAGGCACTTCTGTTTCACCCTCTTATTCAGCCCTTACGCAGCCCTGGAGTAGAGGTTGGCTTCTCCCAGTTCATAGGGTAAAGAGGTTCAGAGAGTGTAGCAGGCTGAATCATGGCTCCCAAAGACATCAGCTTTTAACCCCTGGAACCTGTAAAATGCTACTTGTATGGGCAAAGGGATTTACCAGATGTAATTAAGCTAAGAGTCATGAGATGGAGATTACCCCGGATTATCCAGATGGGCCCCAAATACAGTTGGTGTTCTTATATGAGAAGGGCAGAGGGAGATCTGACACAGACAGGAGACAGCAATGTGACCATGAAGGCAGAGACAGGAGTGATGTGGCTACAAGCCAAGGACACCAGCAACCCCAGGTAGAAAAGGAAGGGATCAGACCCTTCCCTAGAGCCTCCAAAGGGAACAAAGCCTTGCTGACACCTTGACTTTGGCCCAGTGATGCTGCTTCTGGACTACTGACCCCCAGAACCACTAGAGAAGAAATTTCTGTTGTTTGGAGCCACCAAGTTTGTGGTGATTTCTTATAGCAGCCACTGGACACTAAGGCGGCCTATGATGGGGTCTCTCCGCAGCTAGCAAATGGAGTGAATCAGCTCAAGAACCAGACCCTTTAGGCTACAAGTCTCCCAACTCTGCCATCTTATTTTTTAAAGGACCAAATCTTTGCAATGCAGAGGTTCCTTGTACTTCGTGACTATGAAAGTTCCATATTGGCAAGAACATCAAGCAATGAGTCAGTGCTGAAAACAACCTCTGTGTAGGGGGCGGAGCGTGAGAGAAGGACAGTTATGAAGTCTTCCAGCTTCATCCTTGGCCTTCCACATTTGTCTGTTCCTCGTAACTTGTGCTGGGGCCAAATCTGATGCACCACTGAAAATATAGAGCCACTCAGCTTGCGCTATGAGTCCATTTCTGCTGCTGAGCTAAAATGACTAGGGATAACATTTGCCAGTGGGCTATTTCTACTAAGATTCCCAAGAGGAAGGTTCTGGAGGGTGAAAATGTGACAAAGTATATTTGAGAAAAACAGGCTCTCCTCTACCAGTTGTGAATCAAGGCAGAGACATGGGGACCACCGTGCACTGATCCCACCGACCCTGGCACAAAATCCCACAGCACCAAGATGCTCCCCCTCGGGGCGGCCTTCACACATCTGGGTAAGCAGAGAGCATCTGGGCAGGCGCCTGTTGGGGTTAAAAGTTAGGAGTCTGTTCTCTGACACAGAAGAGGGGGTTAGGGAGGGAGAGAGGAGAAGAGAGGGTGAGAAGGAAGAACGCATGCAAGAATATCATCTAAATCAGGGGTGGGGCACATAAAACCCACAAAATCATTTGGTCTGGCCCTGCCAAGGCATTAGGGGTGAGTTAACTAAATGTTTGACCAAATATAGCAGGCTAATTTTTTAAGTTGATTAATTTTGTATGGCCCACGAATGATGTTATAAATATCCAAATGGCCCTTGGCAGAAAAAAGGTTCCCCACCCCTGGTCTAAACTACAGATTCATGAAAAGCAATAACTGGACAAAAACAAGTTTGTTCACCTTCCCAGAACACTAGAACGAAGAAATTTTAGTTTAAGTACTATAAAGACTTAAAATATAAACTGGATGGCAGTCCACATCATGATAGTAAATACCTAATACCTAATATCCTTGGTCTCAGAGTTGACATCAGGAGAGGGTGTCCCCCACAAAGAGGTCTCAGTGTCCTTGTCGGGACTAGAACTCTGGGCAGGTGTTATGCACATTCATCATGAGAACCCCAACCAAAATGATCTGTCCATTTGAGATCATGTGTAGTGAAATCAAATACCTGGATGTAACATTCTCTTAGCTATCTTTGACCAAATCAATCTTACCACATTCACGGGGCTCAATTATTCCAAGGAGGGATTTTTGCCCATTTGCAAAACAAGCTCAAACCCTGGTAGAAGAGGACCCTCCAAGTATGAAAAAGCTTGGCTCAGATTTATGATAGAGATAAGCTAGTCAGAAAACACCTTCAGAAAAAGTAAAAAATAATGTAAGTTCTCACTTTTAAACTTAATGTTTAAAATTCATTTTTCATCACCAACTCATTTAAAATTTTTTTTAACCATTATGTCCTTGTTTTTTAAGCCCTGAATTTTTTATTCATTTTGAGGTAGAAAAAAATTTACCTAAACTAGTCCATTTTTGAATGGCCCGCTTTCATCATGTAGTATGTGATAAATACTTAACTGTTATCCTCACTGATATCCTTAAATATCAAAATGGTACTTACATAATAGTGCTTAGAGCTAAAAAAGAAACCAACACATAAAAACTTTTTGCCCAGAGCAGTAGCTATGACTAAGGACAACATCAGTTAAATAAGTAACAGATACTAAATAAATGTTTAATAAATAAATATTTAATCAACATTAAAAGTAGCAAAGTCAATGTCTGTATCCCCTGGCTTCCTGCTCCTTGTCAAAGGACGTCTTGGTTCAGATGCCTGCACAAAAATCAGAAACTCAGGCTCTAGAAAACTAAACCCCATCACAGTGAATTCTGACCTTTCTTACCTCTCTTTCTAGACAAAACCATATCCTTTATGATTTGCATAATAACTCGTCCAAGTATCGAGACAGCAATCAGGTGATACACTCTCCATGGAGTCAATGCGAGGAACCTATCAAAGCAAAAACAAACAAATCATTTCAGTTTGAGGACTTTTATTTTTTTAAAAATTAGGTTCAGTTTCTGCCAACACTCAACAATTTCACTTTCAAATCATCCCAATATGAGCACATAAAAGTCATTTAATAGGCATCGATGTCAACAAAATAAAAGCACTTGATCCACGTATACTTTTGTGCTAGGCTTTCTACTCTAATCTGTCATTTGGGCAGAGAATCTGCTATCTTGGGTGTGGCCCAAATTTCGCTCTGCTAACAGATGGAGAATGGAATTGACCTGAAACACAATTATGATCGGCTGCAAAGGAAGAGCTAAGGGCTCTTAATACAAACAGAGACGCTAAATAGAAGCCCTGACCTCCGTTTTATGTTTTACTTTTATGCCATATTCATTTCTTTACTACACCCTCCCCACCAGTCTCTTAAAAATAGCAGTTATTAAGAACTCAATTTGCTAATAACCATTTCTCCTTAGAATCACTACCCTTTTGTCCATTTGCCCACCTCCTCTGCAGAGGAAAACATAGAATCCTTTATCTTGAACAGCATATAGACCCTAGAGCACTTTTTTTTTTTTTTTAATTGGACTTATCAAGGAATGGAATGGCAAAGTCACAAGGAGCTCTGAGGCTTCCTATGGAGGTTGAAGCCCATTTTACACTAGTTAATTGGCCAAGCCAGTAATTATATGAACATTCATGTAATCATAATTCATAGAAAATTAACTTAACAAAGGCATCATGTAATGCTAAGTGCAAGGCATTGTAGAGATTATAGAGAACTACAGAACATATGAGCACTGCCTTCTAGAAATTTACTTTCTCATCAGAGAGACTAATACAGATTGAGCTAGCCAAGTACCTCGCAGGGAGTCTCTAGGAACAC